TTTTTATAGAATATAGACTTCTTGAGCGATCTAAAAAGCAAAATGAATACTTGGTACCCAGGGTACCGAAAAAGTGACCCCAGAACTCCCTTTTATGCCCTACTAGAACTACTCTTGATTGCTAATAAAGTAAAGCTGGTCAACATCACCACACCTATTACAAGCCCCAAAGTCCTAGTTGAAACTGCACGTCTCTTAAAAGAATATTACTATTTCAAACAAATTCTAGCTGACTGAATTAATATTCCACAAAAAGCCTTAATTGAAACAAATTGTCCCCCTATACTACCCACACTCGATGAAATCAGAGCTATAATCAATTATATATCTACACCTGAACCAATCATCTTACCAGCTACTTCTCAACAAGAAGTTGAAAATGCTATTGCATTTTTACATACTCACTTTACCTTCAGAGAGGTTCTCCCACATTATCGATATCTCTAAACTCTCTGTACCTAAATAGGAACTCTTTAACAATTATATCCCTGATGAGTAAATTCACTAACATATATGATCAACTATTGGAAACTAATATCTTACTTTCTAACCATACACCTCTTTCGACACTTCAAACTAACTATCACAACCCCACCCCTCCTATTGAACAAACTTTTAACATACTTAACCACAATGTCCAAGGGATTAACCAGTTACTCAAACTACAACTACTACTAGAATACTGTGATTCAAATGAAATAGATATAGCCTTTCTAACAGAAACAAAACTAGATACATCTACTAACCCCATAGCACTTACTAACTCGCTTTATAAGATTTACACATCAAACTGTGATCAAACTAATGCAAACATTTGTGAATTATTTAAAGGTGTCGCAATAGCTTTAAAACCATCAATCTAACCACACATCTATAAAATCAGCACTATTCCTAGTATCGCTCTTCTCATCAATTTATATTTTCCTGCAAACAATAAGATACGCCTTATAGCAACCTACCTACTATCATCCTTAACACCATTACTACGTATCGCCCAACAACAAATTATCTCTTGGGTTAATGATGGTCGCTCTCGAAACATGAACCTCGTAATTGCTGGTGACTTTAACTGTAATACCAACTGCCCTAACTACCACAGACAATGCCCCTTACTCCAACACCTCGCATCTATCGGTTTTATAAGCCTATTACAACTACACCACATCACTGAATCTACCTGGAATCGGAACCAGTTGTCAAGCCAAATAGATGATATATGGGTCTCTTCTAAAATCGCACTCTCATTTACTATGCCTCTTATTCTTGACTCTACTAACATTACCAATAGTGACCACCAAATACTCACCACTTTACAATATACATACCCCATAGTCAAACAGCCCCGGCTCAAAAACAGTACCGAAAAACTTACAACTATGATCATATGAATTCCAAACTCTGGGAGGATTTCGCTGGATTTATCTCAACCTATATGTCAGCCTCCGCTTACCATCACTAGCAAATTACTAACACACACCAACTAAACAAAACTTTCAACAACCTTAACAATATCATTAAACAAGCAGCTAACAAATTTATACCTTTTACCTATACTAGCCCCCATACTTTCTACACTCACTCCTTTAAAGCTAGCTCTTTACATTGAGCACTAAAACACATTAACCATATCTTTAATATAATTAATTGACCCATTCTATTTCATATTTAACACATCACTACTTCTGTTAATAGCATTCTCGACAAAATCAACACACTTACTCAAGCTACTAATCAACACCTTCAACTTAGCAACTTGGAGTACAGCTCCTATACCTATACAAAAACACATCTTAAACAACTCCACTCAACTTTATACACTGCAAGAAATACCAAAAATAACACCCAAAAAAGGAGAAATCCAATATTTTACAAACAAACGCTACACCAACTTCCAAAGCAACACAACCAAGATGATTGATAGTATTTTACACCAGCACCAACCCCCTGTCACATTCCACAATATACTACACCAACTACAATAATCACTGACCCCAAGGAAATCAAACAAGAAACATCACAGCACTTCCGCCACTGGACTCAACTCAACCCATTTGACCCCAACTTGTGGATTGAATGGAAACAATATTATAAACACTATTTCAAGTTACCCCCACTACATATGCACCACTATTAAAACCAATTGAAGCAGACGAAGTTCAGACAACAATAACCACAGCACCCAATAACAAAGCAACCGGTCCTCATTAATCTCAAATAAAATGCTCAAGAAACTTCCTCATATAGCAATTTTATCATTAGCTAAGATCTTCAACACCTGTATCAATCTACAAACAACTCCCTCACTATGGCATAAAGGTTTAGTTTGGCCCATATCAAAGAAAGGATACCAGCCAGGAAACCTCTTCAAGACTTGCCCTATAACACTCATTGAACATATCTGCAAAATCTTCACTAAAATTCTAACCACTCGTATTAATTCTATTCTTATATGCAACGATCTGCTCGATCCCGCAAATAATGTAGCACTCCTACTTACCTCCACTTTACAACTGATCCAACATATTACTCATTTATGTGAAAATGCATACATAAATGAAAAAGAACTTTGGATACTATCAAAGCCTATGATACTGTGCATATATCACTCTTAAGCAAAGCCCTCTCTAGAATTGGCATGCCACTCCAAATCACAAATCTTATAGTTCACATCTTCTCAACAAGACAAAACCAAGTCATCACTTCCATTGGCAAAACACCATCCTACAATATCGAAGATGGCATTGATCAGAGCGAAACAATTTCTCCAATACTCTGGCACATATATTACGATCCTCTTATCAGCCATATTTCCAATTCAACACTAGGCTATACCGCCTCCACCATTGTACCAAACTCCACCCAAACCTGCACGTCTACTACAAATATAATCACTTATATGGATGACACCACATGGATTTCATCAAACCGAACATCACTTCAACAAATACTCAGTATCACATCCTCCTTCTATCAAATGGCCAAAATAACTGTAAATCCTAGCAAATCCACTCTCTTCCACAACAACACTATAGACACCTCTCCTATTATCTTCCAAAATCAACCTATTCACAACTTACCACCAAAATAAACTTTTAGATTCCTCGACACTTTCATTGACTATACTATTAACAATCAATACTCGATTTGAACAATCAAAAAACAATTTTTTACAGAACTTTTCAAACTTAATTATGCAAAAATCACTGAAAAACAAGCCATCTATATTATTAATACAGTTTTGCTCTCTAGATTACATTACCACCTTACTAACACCTACTTGAATCCCTCTAGCTGTCAATGCCTTATAAGTTGATATACCACTACTGTTAAGCACAAAGCATCTATCTCTAGACGCACTCCTAACCCACTTTTATTCTACCCTCATACTTACGCACTAATGAATGCCTACCAATTACAACAAGCACACTATACATCGATTCTTGAAAACATGCTGAATTCTCCAATTACTCCCCCATTATTCTTTATCCGATTACAACAACTACAAAATGACGCTACCTCTAACAAATCCATCCTAACTGACCAACCTCAATTCACCTTCAAAGAATACAAAACTTTTACTGCACAACTCATTCTCAATATGCACCAACTTAATATCCAATTTACCCGGCCATCCAATCCTAATCCATCTCCTCTCAATACACCTGGCACACCTATCAATTCTATTCTACACAGCATCAAACACAACACCCATATCAAACACCAGCTTAATAAACATAATATAACAGCAATCGAACAATTTACAAACCATGACAATACTGCAACGCTTGACTGGATAAGCTTATCATAATATTCAAAAAATACCACACAGCCATATTCCAAAATGGTTCAATACAATTAAAGACACTATCAGTGAAATAGCATTCTCTACTTTAACCTGATATATCCAAACCCCTTCACATAGACCCCAGCAAACACTTCATCATGCTGGATCATAACTTCCAATTATACTTTTGATAGAATAACCTCCTCCAAGGACAACCTCTTCAAGACACAACATTGGAACTTAAACCAAACAACCAACAGTCTAACCCCCTGTAATCGATGTGTCCATCATGACTATACTACAAAGAATATTCGATGTTCATTCTGGACTCCAAAAATCACTACTTACCAAATCCAAGTATCTTCAAAACACATCTGGCATGGCAACTTAACCAATTTCAGCACCTTACACTACCTACCAAACTTAAATCTAAATCAACCTGCTACATACCTTGTAACCGCTATTATTCCTTTAACATGGCCCAGGCGCATAACAACCACGCAGAACACATCTGGAATACTTACCTCTCCTTTTCTAATTCCAAATCTATTCATGCACAAATGGCTATAATTTCTACCAGGAAAACACCATCGTCACTTATTGCAAAGCTCACATTCGATCATCACAATACACAATTATCCATACAAAATACTACTTGGCCTAATCCAGCAAAAATCGCTATTACAATATTATATACATTGATTACAATCATATCTTCTGGTTCACACATCTACCTAAAAATGAACTTCACATTCCTTATCAAAATACTCTCTTTTCTACTAGACGCCTCACCTATTATACCTTATGAGATCTGTAAAAATGACAATACTAGCTACCTGATCGCTACTAAGGCAGCCATCCATGCTAAATTCATATCAATAACTACCTACTATGCTAAAATTAACACCACATTACAACCTAACAATCATATCCTGTATACAGAAATTGACTCATCACTACTTATCCACAACACCTACCTCCAAAGATTTAATCACAATCTCACTTCAGACAACATAAAAACAACAATCAAAAAACTCTACATTGCAACCAACATAGACTCATAGTACACTCTAAACAGAATTCAAAAATCAGTAAAAGCTACTTCAAAAATTTGTTGGGACCCAACCTTTCAATACTTAAAGTTCAACGATCAACCACGACAACGTTATACAGATTCTAAAACATCAACAAACAAAAATTTCAAGTTTAAAATCATAATGAATGAGCTACTAAATCAAGCCAATCTATTCAAATGCCATCCCCTCAAACACTCTTTGTCTTGGTGTAAACGTTGCAATAGTACAATAGAAACAGATGCACATTGGATTACTTGTCCTATTAACACAATTGACCTATCCATACTACTAACCAATATGTTAACCCAATTTGCATCTAAACATAACCTTAATATTCTAAATATTAACAACTTTGTCCAAGCATACCATAGAATTCATATACAGAACCAAATACCTGTCAGAATAATAACTGAAAAAATGCTTACATCTATTCGTAACTATAAATTAGCTATAAATCTTTCACCCGAACTTCATCACAATATACTTGTAGAATTACGAAAGTCTATTTGGATCCCAAGCAGGATTTCTTTCCCCAATAATAATACTACAATCTTTTCTTCGCCACCAAACTTGGTGTTAGAAACCCCACCCACCTTACAACTAAAGAACTCCAATTACAAAACAAATTTTACAGTTGGCAAAAAAACTATATTAACTTCAACTCATCCTCTTATTCAATTCTAAATTCATAGTCTAGAGGTCTTTCAGCCTACATAGCTAAGGTTAAAGTTTAGAGTAAAGTAGCTCCATCCCCACTTCTTTGAAAAAATTTATGTATACTTACTTTGTAAACTCTGCATAATGAATAATAAAGAAATTGAGAAAAAGACCTCACTTAAAATAGTGATGCCACTGAAATTGATTTTCAAAAAAGGCCTATTTCGTCTCTAATAAAGCAAATTAAAATTTTTTATAAGAAAGAGCAAATAAAATTTATATATTTATACTCCTTATAATTTCGTCTATTCAAAAAAAGTATCAAAAAATTTCGTCTTTTAAGTAAAATAGATCAAAAACAATTTTGTCTTCAAATTTTAATTTCGGGTTTTTGAGCCCGAAATAATTTCATCGGCATGTATAACTTAAAAAATATATATATATATATATATATATATATATAGGACCTGATAATTTCTCTACCCCACCCCCCTAAAAAATCAAGTGATAAATAGTGCTCCCCTAATCTTTTGGAGAGAATAAACCAAATTCCTACTTTTTGTCAAAAATTTGACAAAAAATAGCAAAAAAGCAAAGGTGGGCTATAAGAAGGAACTACTTGTACTGAAAATAAAAAGCATATATAAAGAAAAATTGCCTATTTCTTGTTTTCTTGTATCTTTATTTGAAGACTGCCTAGAGAGCTTTGTTGACAAAAAAAATAGTCTATTATAACTTCACCAAAATTTTTATACAAGAGCACTATTCTTGCTAGTTATCTTGTATAATAATACTTTTGGCTTGTATAAATATAAAACAAAGTCTCTAAAAAGTAACATTGATCTTTATAAAAACTACTATAAAAGATCTTAACTTATTTCTAACAAACAGTTTGTTTTTCTGTAGTTGAAATTTTGATACAAGTAATTATTAGAAAGAGTTGTATTTCGAGTAAATTATTAATTAAAAAAAATTATTAAATAGCTTAACTTTCTTCAATCTACTAGAAACTAAGTTTTTAATCTAAACTCAAAAGATAATCTTTGTATCTAATGTTAACTCAAATACAACAAATAATTTTTGTACTTGAAAAGTTCTAAATCAACCTAATAAGTTACTTGAGTTAAACAGATTAAACCACTAATTTAACTACATTACTGTTGAATCTTAAATCTAGTATAAAGTAGATAAATTTTGTAACAGTACTAAAAGATTATTAGTTTTTAAAAATATTGCAAACTATTAGATTTAAATAGGCAAAATAGATTAATTTTATCAGATTTAATAAATTATAAATTTTAGCAGAATTAGTTTTGAGTAAACATTCAATTCAGATAAATCTGTTATCTGTTTATTTGTATCTGAATTATCCAGATAATTCAGATCAAATAAACAGATCCGATATCTGGATAATCTGACTGATATTCAGATAATTATTTGAATGCCAAAAGTAAACCGATATCCACTATCTGTTATCCAAGTATTTGATTCGAACTTTATTCAGATATCTAACAATTATTCAGATAAATGCTATTCGAATTGGATCTCTAGTTTTGAGAGATTAAATAGTACTATAGCTCTATAACAGAATTTTTTATAAACAACAGAACCCTGGATATCTAGGATATAGATCATATATGAACTTTTCAGCAAAACCTCTGTAAATTTGGGAAGCAAAAAAACACTTATTTGTAAATATCTTAGCAACCAGTAGTCCAATTTGGATAAACTTTTTTTTAAATAAAAGCAGAAACGCCGTAACAAAAAAAGAGCTTTGGGTCGTCAACCCTAGTGTAAACAAAATTTTGTGATCCAGGTTGGTTGATTTACATAAAAAGTCACGTGGGTAAATTGCTTTTAAAAATGACAATAAACACCTCGTTCCACATTATTCAAAAATTGGTCTGAATTATATAACTATTGGGTACTTATTTTCGGAGGAACACGGTAATATACAGTCTACTCTGCCCAAACCGGTATGTAGGTTTTGTACCGATTTTGAAAGGTTATCAAATTTGAGAACTATCATATGATTGGCTATTACAAATGGACAGATCAAATTGTGAACTGAATTTGATTCATTTGAACCCCAAAATAAGTTTAGTTTTTTAAGACTCGGGTTGAATTCAGTTGAACTCAGATTAGATTCAAAATGATTTCATTTGAATCTGGGTTAGGTCAAACGAACTCGGAATGGGCTCATTTGAACTCGGGTTAGGTCCAAATAAACCCAGAAGGGTTCAAATGAACCCAAATAAGCTTGTTTGAACCTAGGTTGGATTAAATTAACCTGAAATGGGCTCGTTTGAACCCGAAGTGGGTCAAAACAAACCCGGAATTGGCACATTTGAACCCAGATTGAGGTCAAGAATTGGCTTATTTGAACCCAACGTGGATTCAAATAAACTCGGAATAGGTAGATATTTTATTAGAAAATCAAGAACCAGAATATTAGAATTATCAGATATCAGAAATGGCAGGTTACCGGAAATTAATTAGGGAACAGGATTGATTTTTTTTACCGAATATGGCAGGTTATCGGTTTTGACAGGATCGGTTTTAACAGGTAGACTGTATCTGCATTTCGCATACGTATGAATAATGAATCGATTTTAATTAGTCAGCAATTTTGATGAATAAAATAGGAGGTGTTAAACACACATTTTTTTTCAGAGTTGTTCTGATTGGCTAAAAGTTAAAAATCCGCGTTTCGTATGTACGATTAATTAATCGCAAGGATCCTAATACAGTAAATAATTATCCAATTAATTCTCTAATGTAAGTTATATACTGTATATTATGTAAAAAATTTGGTTTATTATTTTTTTCGACATGTCTTCAGACATTATTTGCCCATTATAACACTCAACCACTAAAAACTACTGTTAGTTGCTAGGATTTACTGAAATCTTGACGAGAAAATTATAAGTTGTAAACATTCTTGGGATTATCAAGAGTCTTTAAAATCTGATCATGTGCTGATAATACAGTATAAAAGAAATTTTAACGAATTTATTACCAAGAATAAGAATTTAAAAGATAAATAAATATATAAATATGAATGAAAGAAAATAAATATCTTATAACTTTTTATAGAATGAAATCTTGTAATAAAAAATAATTTTCTACATATTCAGTGCTTAATTAGAAATGGTTTTTGGAAAAGACATTAATCTCGCTAATCTGATTAGTTTCAATTAATATTATCTATTTATAAAAGTCTTTACTAATTTCCGAATTATTCGGATGTTGATTATCGTGTGACGACATATTCAACCATTTGTTTAAAAGGAGAGTATCTTGCTTGATTGCCCTATATACTAATTAGTATATATACTTATTAATAATGTTATAAAAATCACCTTCCATATAAATGTTGCCTTTCATTTGTTTATCCAATTCCCATGATGCAATAAAATCATTGTCTTTATCTTTTTAATTTTTTTTTTTGGAAATTATGAATGAAAACGACGAGGTAATCATCACATTTTACCATTTTGAAAAAGGTGATTATAGACCATATTGCATAATGTCTAATTTTTGGCTACTAATAATAATAAAAAAAAGAGTTTCAGAAAATCATGGTTAAGCAATTCAAAATAACGATTATTAATTGTGTCAATAAATGTAAAGCCGGAAATCTTTAAAAGGTTTCGGGATTTTCAAAATAAAAAAAAATTCAACACTTACCGAATTCATGTGGACTTTTAATAAACTTAAATTTTTAAAGTTTCAATTGTTTCCGTGACTTTGGACACAGATTTATAATTTGAGAAATCATACCTTAAAACATAATTAACGATCAGCGTACGATGACCATTGCTTATTTTGATATATAATTATGTATTCTTTGTCGATTAAGTTTGATAATTGACAAATTGGAAATTATATAAAAAATATTATAAGAATGATAGACCGTTTAGAAGCTCATCAACTTATAAAGACGTTCATATAGAATTTGTAATGTTACACTACGTATTTGAATTCGACAAACGTACGGACGTACGGACGTACAGTACGTGTGTACGTAAATACGAGCGACATAATAATGAACCTTGATGATTTATTTTTCAAATGTCATTTCAATTTTAGTAAACAATAAAAAGAAAAATTCATCGAAAATCATGTTGACTTTGTACAAAATATTACGAGTGGTATTATTATCATTATTATTATTATTATTAATTATTAATATGAATATTAATATTATTATTATTAATTATTAATATGAATATTAATATTATTATTATTAATTATTAATATGAATATTAATATTATTATTATTCAATCATTTTTTGACCGTATATTCTTACGTATCTTGTAGAAGTTTTTAAATCGTTGACTTCTTTTTGAAATGTTCGAATAAGATTATCAATATCTTTTTCCGAGACACCCATGAGTTCAGATAATGTCTTTTTCGATTGTTCCCAAGTTGCAGTGATATTTTGTACTAAAAGAGGACCAACTTTTCCACCACCTTTTCCTAAAGTAATCCTCTTTTCTTCTCTTCGTATCACAGTAATTTTGTTCGTACTTCGTAAATAATCCTCGAATTTTGGATTTATTATTAAATCAATATTTTTAGATTTAAGATATTCGTGGTCTACATAAAAAAATTATTATAATATTATTGAATTAATTTATGATAAAATTTTTAAAAAATTTTAATAATAATCACAAGAGAAAAAAATACATACACGCAGCCTCCAATTGAGTTGTAGAGGAGCCTTTCGGAGAATAATCATTAGTAGAATCATTTATTTCTACCCAACCACCAGGTTTGCAAACTCTGATTATTTCATTTGCAACTTTTTCTAACCATTGTTTTTCACTAAAAGATAAAAATCTCATATAAACTAGATCAAAAGTATCAGGGTCAAAAGGTAAACCATCTAGAACATCAGCTTTTAGGAAAGTGACATTTGTATGTTCTACTCTTTGGGCAAATTTTGCATGAGCATCAATACCGGTGAAAAGACTCCAAGTAAAATCTTTTGCTAAATCAATAGTCCAAGTTCCATCACCACAACCAATTTCTAATACTCTAGCGCTTCCTTTTCTTAATAAATCATCAACAGGAGAACTGAAATTATTTTGCCATATGTATTTATGTATATTATGTAGTAATTGTGAATGCGTGATTATGTCATCATTATCGGAAAGAGGATATCTTAAATTTTCATCTTCGTTAAATACGGGTGGTGCATGTTTTTTCGAGAATCTTCGTTTTTCTGCTGTAGGAAGGTGGACTTGCGTGACATGTTCTTCACCACTTTCAAGTTTATTATTTGCATTTGAACGACAGCTACAATTTCCCATTGGAAAATTTAGAAATTTTGGAAATTTTGGAAATTTTGAAAGTGGAGAAAAAAAAAATACAAATTAAACAATCGAGAATTTTACCCGAAAAAAGAAAAATGGGATAAAAAAAAAATAAAAAATTGTAAGGAGAGAAAAAACAAAAATATAAAAAAAATGTGGAGAAACCTTTTTTTTTAAATATTAAAATAAAAAAAAAAAAAATTTCAAATTGACCGGATCGAAAATTGGTCAACAACTTTACTAAGTGAGTTAATCTGCAAGGGATTATTCGCATGGTAATGTTTTTCAACATATATGGAATGGAAGTACGTATGTACCAATAATAAACATTAAAGGATAAACTTTGCCCCCGTCACTGTTAAAAAAGATGTGACAAATTCGTAAATCATTACGAAACTATTGTTAATTTTATTATTATGATGTACAATAAAAAAAAAAAAAAATTGAATAAATTATTGATGTTTAATTTATGATATTTGTAAAATGTGATAAGTGTGAATAAAATTTAAATAAACTTTTTTAGTACTGTAGTACGTATAATAAAATTATGATAATAAGCTTAACAAGATGAGTAACATTCTACGATTGTTTAAATGTTTAAATGTTTCAGTAACAAATATTAATAAAAAAATTTTTTTACATAGTAAGAACACGCATACATTAAATTAAACATTATAAAAAATTAGATTTTTATTATAAACACGATTTGAATCATCAGCTCTCTTAGATCAATTAATACAGATTAGCAGATTAGTAAGTATTTTGGAATTTTATAGATGTATTGCGAACGAAAATAATTTCACAAATGACCCAAATAGTTTCTAAGAATTCTTGAAATCTAAAAGATATATGCAATTTACATGAACTGGTGGTTACCGAGATTTTTTTTTTTTTCCTTTAATGCACGGAGCGCATGTTCATTTATTTATATGTAATAACTGATCTTTTATATTGCAAGAAGATTATTGGACTTAAATGCACTGTTTTAGGTATAATTGACTGCATGTAACAATCATTCTTGTTTTTGTCCAACTTTGATATCTAAGAAATCGGGTGTAAATTCCGATTATTTCTTTCTATATAGATTCAAAAAAAAAAAAAAAGATCTTTTCGAAATTTAACGGAGAGAATCTATGAATTATAAAACTTATTATTTCTTAATCCAAATATATGTTGTGATTACTTAATAAATGCAGAAATAGAAAAATGTATTACATCTAATTTCGGACAATCATTATTTTAATAAAAATTTAAAAAACTGCAAACAAACCTTGTAAGACCTGTTACAACCTGTTATTTACCGAAATTCCCAAGAAGTTTCTAAAAATGAATTAAAGAACTCAATCTTTTACTGCGGTAAGTACCGATTGTTAGATTTAGATTTTAGATTTCACGTCTTTGGAAAGTACATTACCACTTTTTTTTTTTTACACTAAATTTTATCATATAAATTTTGTCATATAAAACTCTTGGAAGGGAAATACAATGATTGTTCGTATTTCCATGCAGTTGGATGATTGACAAAGGGGAAGCGAGTTCTTTGTCAGCCTCATTCCTTTTTCTTTGTGCAAAAGATATTTTGTGTAGTATCAGATATGAAACGTGTGAACACGTTCCTTTTCATTATTATAAAATTGCTATAATTTTAGAATTATTATAGTTATTTATAATGGTAATACATAAATAAGATCTACGTAAGTACGTACAGTACATACAGTGCCAGGCATTATATCAGATATATGTACTTGCTTACGTACATATGTACGTACGTACGTATCTTAACAAAATTAAAAATCTACGTCTTGTATTAATTATCATGCATCCAAACTGAGTATTCATCGACCACTTATAAATCTTCTCATACACCAACTTTCGGATTTTCACGTATATTTATTATTTATATATATAAATGTAATAATCTTTGATAGTATATAATTGGAAGGACAAGATTTGTGTAGTAAGACGATGGTGCGTACATACGTGCTTGCATACGTACGTGTACGTACCTTGCAGCCAATAAAGTGCTTTAGAAAGCCCATCAGATTCTTTATTGGGGTTGTACTTCCGCGTGGAGATCCATTAATCTAACCTTCCCATTCCTTCGAAGATGGTATCATCATTTATTGTATAATAAAGGTATGTTACGATTATTCATCCTTAAATTGTTTTCGATAAGCTCATTGATAACTTTCTAAAATAGTCAATTTATAAAAAAAAAAGACACTGATTCCAGATTTTAGTGCAACAATGTTGCGAATGTTAAGAATTATAGATAAGAATTATAGATTCGAGAACTCTTACCAATATTTAGTCATAAAGTCCACTGTAATTCTTATTTTTGGACAATGTATTCCATTTGGTTTTTCACTATACCTACTCCGTAAAAAGTCTCTTCAATACCTTTTGAATTTTGTTAATAAATAAATGGAAAAGTCTTTCTTGTACACAAGATCATTGGTTCAAAGATATCTCATTCAACTTATCTGCCATATACCTTAATATAATTAGTATATAATGAAACACAATTATCACTATTGGAGTTAGTCACTGCTTATATAGTTATAGCTAGCTGTATAGTATTAATCAAAGTTCTTAACAATAGATTTGTTTATTATTAATGCGACTAATACAATTAATACATTTGATTAGGTTAGTCCCTTTTTTTTTTCTATCTGCATCTTTTATCTTGCTTTTTTTACCCAATGTCAACTTTTCTGGTATTAGACCATAATAATTGACGCCTATGTTTTAAATGATTTCATCAAATGTTTTGCATAAATGTGAAACAAACCTTTGATTCAATATGTTACAAATAATAATCGTAACCTTTTCGTGCATTTTTTTATGCAACTAAGTAATAAAATAAAATTGTAAGCGATCCCCAAAGGCTTTTTTGTTTCTGTTTTCAATAATTACTCGCATGAATTATCTAATAAATCTACCCCTATTATGCAGGTTCTCCTACAGGTGTTATTATTCTATAAAAAAAAACTTTTTTTAGTCCCATATTATATAATATATTTCGGATATAAATTTAGATATATCGGATCTTTTCGTTAATGCGTGATGGCAAATCTAAAGTCGTATGATAAAGTGACAAAATAAATGAATTTATAATTTTTAAAGAAAAAATAAACGATACAATTTAATTATTTTTATTATTATTATTATTATTATTATTATTATTATTATTATTATTATTATTATTATTATTAGAGTTTTTAGTAATTCAACAGTAAAAATTTATCACAAAAATCAATTAGTCATTAATCTTTATTGTGACATTACTATATCAATTTTACACCACCTTTATCCTCTTTGCTTTGTTATATAAAACTTTAAATACTCATTTAAATGTAACACACGATCAATATCACAAGTTGGGGTTATTTCATGTGTTGACGAGCAATGGTACCGTCATTGCAGATGACGTATTGAGTGATGTACGCACGCACTTACATAATACGTACCTTATGTAGGGTGCAGGGTTCACAATTTTATTATCCATTGAAGTAAAAAAACCAATGGATACTTATCTATTCAGACCTACATTGGGGAAAATTACCAACTCTGTAGAGTGATAAGAAGACATTATGCTGAGAATATTACACAAAAAATTGAATAAAAGTGATGATCTGATCATCTTTTGCCAAATTAAAATTAGACTAAAATTAGAGTGAATGAGCGAGAGAAACAAAATGCGTACGTACGCATCTATGCTATTAGCAATTACTTTTTTTACGTGTTCATTTGCACAATCATCTTTGAAACAAAATTATTTTTGTTTACTTTACCTTTGTCTTTTACACTTTATTCATTGATAAATGTGAAATTGGTAAGCAATATATATATATATTTTTATCACTGCAAATTTATTTATTGTTACCTGAAAAAGAAATCATACGACTGCAAATTCTCTATCACGTGATCTACGAGTGAGTAATCAGGACACAAATAATGGTTTAATTATTCATAAATATTTATTTTATTTTATTTTTTTTAACTAATATTAATAATATATGATGTGATTAAACCCAGCGCTAAATCTAATTTTAACTGGCTGAATTTTTATCTCTTAAATCTCTAATCAAAAATCTCTAATCAAAATTCTCTAGTATCTAAATAACGTTAGTAATAACAACAATTAAATTCGGAGAAATTTTTTTACTTCAATCATATCGCTATGCCTGTAGAATCAAAAGATCGTCGAAATCTACTTACTTTCAGTAGTTAGATTCTCATTAATTGCCTGCCATTAGATATTGGTTGAACCTCTACTTAACGTTAAACGAACCATATTTACTTCATTATTTAGATACTAGATTAATACTATAAAGTATGATAAAGGTATTGTACGTACGTATGTACGTACCATCTTGAAAAAATTAATTAATGAAAACGGCATATGTGTTTAAAAAATTCTATATATTTTGATAAATTGTGTTGCTTTCTATATATTATATTACTAAATCAAAAGATAAATAGGGTTTGTTTGTTTTGAAACCTATCGCTATTGATAAACTATTTTCCGCAACGGGTAAGCCCCCGATTATTCGAGAGCTGTTCGGGCTCTTAAATGGCCGAAGAGTTATTCCGTAGTGAGAGATTAACAGGAGAAACCGTCCAAATATGGATATGATTTTCATTCTCCGTTACACAGATCACTCATTGTATCGACCAGTCA